AACCCGGGAAAGGATTAAAAATGGACGACAATAATATGTTGCCACTTTGATATTTATTATTGTGTTTTACTGTTTTTAATGTGTGCATATATGAACAAAAAATGAAATATAGAAGAAATTATATAAAGTAGTATTATTTTTATAATATATTCTATAACATATAAGAAAAAAAATATAAAAAAATATATATACATTATATAATAAAAATGTAACATTCTACTAAATTAACTAACTTTTAAAAATATAATAATAAGATAATTAAAAAAATAGATTGGGGATTAAGTAATTAAATAATGGGATTAATTAATTAAAATAGGAGAAAGAGAAAATGACTAAGAAATGGACTTATTAAGGGTGTAATAATAATATAAAAACAAATAGTCATATTCGTACATGATTCATTATGACATAGCTTGTTAGTTTGTCATTTATTATTTTTTTTAAGGAGTTTGTCATTTATTTTATTTAGTGGTAAAAAATAATAAAATATCATAATTAATATGTTGTAGTATATAGTAATAATTTATGTTTGATTCCTTACATTGCTAATTTAATCATTTGTAGTATTTAAGGGTAGTAAAAAATTTACATGTCATTAAAGAGTTTAGTAGTGTTAAAGAAGTTAGTTAGAATGTAAGTAAGTATATAACGTATGTTACTTAAATGAAAGTATAAATCATACGTTATTTAAATATAAATTATTACTTTAATCATTATAAAATTGAATGACAAATCGTCATGAAAGTTAATTTTTTTTACTTATATAATAATTTTTGTCCTACACGAGTGTTTAGTTTACGATATATAATTTTAATTAGATTTTAAGTATCAAGTGAGTGAATTGATTTGTAATTATATATACATTATTTGATAATAGTGTACATTTGATTGATTTAATCATAATTAATTTAATATTAATGTTATTTTTCAAAAAAATTATTATTCAAACCAATTTATATTCATATAGAAAAAAATATATATTTAGATTTGAATTTGAATTTGAATTTGAATTGATTTAAATTGATAAATGCTAATTTAACTTTTTTTATGATTTACATATGTATTATTTATTTTCAATTGATCATCAGAATTATAAAATTTGGTCCACAAAATTTAATAAATGAATCATGATATTCTTTGAAAGCAAAAATCATATAACATTTAATGATTTATATATATATTCATCCAAATTATTATCAGAGAAAACTCAAGTGGTCAAATAAAATTGTTTGATTATACTAAGCAACAAATCCGCAGTAGCTCACTTGGTTAAATTCTTATGTTGAATTTCCGGGTTCGAACCCCGGCTGCGGAACTAAGTCGTAAGACTATTTTTTTTTTCTTTTTTTTTTAATCTTTATAAAATTTAGAACAATTATTCTTAATCCTGTTATCATATAATTATTTTTAATTACTTGTTTTTTTATTAAAAATTCAAAATATATACGTGTGACACTTTTAATTTATTTTTTTAATATATTTTTAAAATAAATGTTATTTATCAAATGTAAGTTTGTCAAAAATAAGAGAAATAATAAAAATCTTTTCGACATAATTCCGCAGCCGGGATTCGAAAAAAGAAATTCGTAATCAGAATTTAACCATGTGAGATACTGTGGATTTGCTGCCCAATGAAAGCAAACAATTTTATTTGAATGTATAAACTTTCTCTTATGATAATTTCATTCAGTATATATTTCTATTAAATAAAACAATGAAATCATTAAATGTTATATCATCTTTTATTTCAAATAATACCATATTTCATTTATAAAATTTTATGGACCGAGTTTTATAATTACGATAATCAATTGCAAAATAAATAATTTACATGAAAATCATCAAAAAAAATTATAGTATTTCTTTTATTTTTTGCTTAAATATGTTTTTATATAAAAGTTTATTCATTTTACATGAATTAAAGATATATTTAAACCAAATTTAAATAAAGAAATACCATAAAGAAATTTTGAATTCATTAACATTTCTCTTCACACACATTAGGTGTCATTGAGTTTTTTTTTTTTCATTATATAAAGAATCACTTTCTTTTAATCATTTAGATTTCTCTCTTATCTTAAGCTTAATCACATTTATTCACAAATTGCTCTTAATTCTCAATTAATTGTTTTCGTCCTATAGTCTTCAAGATTTAGAAATCTTTCCAAAGCTAACATATTATTCTCTCCAACACGTGAGAAGATGTTTTAAAAAATAAATAAAGAGTCGTTTGGTTTCAAACAACATTTTATTTTCGTTATCACTTTTAATTATAAAAATTCCACCTATTTTTTTAACTTTATTTTTTGTTTTTAAAGGTTTTATATGTGAAACAGTAAAAAACTTTATATTGTTTTATGTTTTCACTATTTTTTATTTAAACATTTTAAAAAAAATTAAAAAGCAAATAATATTTTGTGTTAAGTTTATAAGGTTTAAATACTCCGTATTTTTTTGCACTTAGTTTTTTTTTTCTTTTTTCCTTTTTTCCTTTACTCCATGTAACCAAAAAAATAAAAGGTCCAGGTTGAAGAAGGCCAAATCTTACAGGTTTGAAAGATTGGGCCTAACAGGCCTGAACATACAGTGGTCCAATTAGAGATTTATTAGTTTATATGTTTCATGCACTCAGCAATTAAATATTTGGACTATATTGATTTTTTTATTTATCAATATGCTAAAATGTTTTGAAAACGTGATAAAACTATTAAATATTATGTGTGTATTTTTTATATTTAAAAAATAATTTTGTAAAAATTATACATTCTAAATAAAATAAAATTATCTTTCAAATAATAACAAATTAATATTTTATGTAAAAAAATTAAAATGATAACAACATCAAATAATACTATAACGAACAAAGAGAGAAGCAAACAAAGAGGTAGCGTTGGACGAAGGTGCAGAGGCCACATAGAGACAATGGAGGAGGGCACTTAGGTGAGAGGGAGAGAACGACGAACGATCAAAGGAATGCACATAGGTTAGAGGGAGAGAGGCAACACTAGTAGAGAAGATTCTAATTTGAGAATGAGAGTGAGAAACCTGGAGTTTAACCTACACTCACATGCAGATCTAGTCACAGGCAGCACTGCAGTTCGATCGATTTCAGTTCAATTCCAACTGATTGAACCGAAAATCGAACTGAATCAGTCAGTTCTCTAAAAAACACATCTAAAAAATCCAAACTTTATGATTTCTTTTAGTTTCCAGATTTTTTGGATCGGTTTTCGATTTTCTTTTCAATCTGGTTCGGTTTTGAACACCCCTAGCAGTTAAGTGTATTGACACCTATTCTCCCTCATTATTAGTTGTTCTCTCCCTAATTACCTAATATAAACCATAATGCATGATTTTGGTATTTTTCAATTAACAAAAAATACTTTATCATGTATTTTGATCATGGTTGTTTTAGTTAAAACGGGAGGTTATTGGGTTTCATATGTGTACTTGTTATAAAAAGTATTCATCTAAAGTCTTTAATCTTCGGTCTTTGATTTATGGATTAGTGGTTATACCTATAAAAAATATTTTAAT